ATGATTAAAGAGGTAAAATTTATAAATTTTACTGGCAAGCATAGCATAAATAGCAAAATTGCGCTAATTTTTGTCAGCGTAAAGATCGAGGATTTGTCCCTGGTGGCAAAAAATCAGTTGCTTTATGGTTCGTATCGATGGTAGAAGTGCTTGTTTTAAAGTCAGATACCACCAACTTGTTTCTAAGCAGCCCTCAAAATAGGAAATAAGCAGAAACTAGTTGGTTGCCATTGCCATTTGCTCTGTTCAGGTTACGAGTTTTTTGAACTCCTTTAAAAATTTCAATGTTTAAGAATTTTTGACTTATTTGTTGATACTTTTTGTCGTGATTTGTATAGCAAATTTGCTATTTACAGCCAAAAGTGCTAAGTGTAGAAGACACGTTAATGTGGAAGGCGGCAGAGAAGGTGCGCTTATTCCGAAGTGAACGAAATGATGAACTTCTGTCAAATCAAATGCTTGCTGGTATACCCGAGGTCGACTTAGGCATCAAGTAAGTCAGTTGGCTAGTGAGATAATCTTCTCATCTTTTAACAAAATTATCCAAACTTATATTTCGGTTTATTTTTTAGTAATGTAAATTTTTTTTTTTGTGTGTGCAGTGTGCTACGAAAGTGTTTGAACTAAGCAGTGATACTATTTAAACAACATAATTTATTTTTAGTGCAAGAATGAGTAATATAATTGAGACGGAGAAAAAGAAAAGCGAAATGCTGAAGGAGGTCATCGAAAAAAGGCGGAACCTTGCTGAAGACAGTTTGTTCAGCCAGGATCGGGCCAAGAATTTGGCCAAAAATTATGTACAGCATTCAATATGTAAGTATTTTTGCTTGGGAATCTTTTGCTACTTTTCGTATATCATCACTGTATCGGCAGTGGATTTAAGACATGCTTAAAATGAGAGTTGTAGTTGATATTAGTTTTATGCGGAGTAAGTGGAGAGGAAACCCTCTTAACACCTAGAAAGTGTATTTTTTCGATGGAGAAAGTGGAGAGGAGAAAATGGTGCTTTTGTCCCACAACATTTTCTCCTCTCTACCATGACTTTATTGACCATGCCTCTCATTAACCGCGCCTTCATATGAAACAGGTTCTGTTATAAGTAAACAAAATTCGGCTGACGTTTTTCCTTTTTTTTATTTCGAGTAACTGCCGGCCTTCCGTTCAAGATGCTGGAAAGGCCGACAGTTGATCTAAAGAAAAGGAAAAGAACAACATCTCGAATCCATGTTGTCACCCCACCCCCACTTTTCAACTCCACATCGTTTGAGAGGAATTTTTTTTTTTTTGAGCGGAAAGGTTTACGTGATTGGACGTTCCGTGACTTACAAGTTCTCTTGCGCTTCGTGGTGAAAGTCGATTTCACACGTTTGTTTGTCATTCAAAAGTTGACTTTGATAAACGTATGAATATTTTCCAGTTTACATGGAGTCGACAACTCGTTTGGGTCAAGA